TTGGTGAAGTCGTTGTTGACTAGGACCTGCCTTACCCTACAGAGTTCTTCATCGACTTGCTTCCATCCTGAGCTGTGGCTGAGAGCACGGTCGACGTAAGCGTTGACAACACCTCTCTTGTACTTGTCTGGACAGTCACTGTTGGCATTGAGGCACATTCCTATGTTTGTTTCCTTAGTGTAGACTGCAGTGTGGAAACCTCCAATCCTTTCCACGACTGTTACATCTAGAAAGGGCAGCTTCCCATCCTTCTCCATCTCATAAGTGAAACTCAACACAGAATTCCGCTCGAATGCCTCCTTCAGCTCCTGCAGACGTGTGTGTATATATATATATATATATATATATATATATATATATATATATATATATATATATATATATATATATATATATATATATATATATATAGTGTAGTGTCATAGTCACTATAGTTTGCAGTGTCGTAGACGTTGAGACGGATCTTGGAGCAGAGCAGAGAGCTGAGTGAGGCCATAGTCACGGAGCTCTATGCGGGAGAGCGTGACGGCTTGATGAGGAATCGTGAACGTTTAAGCTTGATGGGGGAGCGAGAGCGTTGTAGCTGGATGTGGTCGTAGTCTGCTGTCTGCTCTTATGTCGAAGCTGTAGCGTCTTGGAGTCGAATCTACGCTCTCCCGCATAGAGCTCCGCGACTATGGCCTCTCAACTCTCTGCTCTGCTCCAAGTTCCGTCTCAACGTCTACGACACTACTGTATCCAAGATTACTAAATACATATGAAAACCCACTGAACACTGCGTATCTAATTTACTCAACGACGTAACACATTTGTACGTTACATTGGTGACCCTAGAGAGTTTCGACAATACCCAGCTCGGACGATTTTCAACATGGCCTCTCACTGGACATCTACTGCTTCACCTGCTTGAGCAAGCCCGTGAGCTCCTGCCTGTAGAGAGGTTACCTCCCTGGGAGGATGACTCATGCAAGATCATCATCAATGAAATGGCAATGAAAAAATCCAACACACAAGAAATGAGGCACAAGTATCTCGAGGAAATTTATAAAGAAGCCGGAGATGAACTAGATCAAATCTACACTGACGGGTCATCTAATCCTGTCAATGGAAGGGCTGGTGCAGCATACACGGTAATCAAGGATAATACTTTCCAACGCAGAAATGAAGAAAAAGCACGTATTGAGACCTATGCCTCTTCAACGCAAGCAGAGCTAACTGCCATTGTTATGGCGTTAAGGTTTCTTGAACGGAACACTAATGGTGCAGTGATTTGCACCGATTGAAAAGCAGCACTGCAAAGTAAAAATCGGGCAGAAAATCTTGCAATAGTCGCTGAAATTAAGAGAGCTGTGAGAGTACTTACCAATCAGGGAAGAGTCATCAAGTTTCTGTAGATCCCTTCCCATGTTGGAATATGTGGGAATGAACGAGCAGATGTGCTGGCTGCTGAAGGCGCTGAAGGAAACCATATTGAATACTTCATACCCAAGACTCTACTACAAATTAGAGGTATTGTCAGGCAACATCACCGTGACAAGGTAACTGAGGAAAGGAGGATAGAAGCACAAACCAGTGAATCTGTACGATGGTATAACATGGTTGCAGCTGGCAATCCCAGTCACTATGGCCGAAGAGGAGGAAGACGAGGGAGAGAATCAGTAAGAGCGAGAATCCGTCTTGGATACAAATATCCATGGAGATATGGAATGGAAACAACAGTTGATCAGCGAAGTTGTAGAATCTGTGGTGAGAGTGATGGACACCACCTTGACCACTATCTACGTGAATGTGAACACCTGAGAGAAATCAGAACTAAGTGTAGAATAATAAACCCCACATTGTTTGAGTTAGGAAAACACTATTTGTCAAATATTGATACTGTTCTTAAAAGATTTCCCCATTTTGCACCCGCAAGATAGCGTAAGCTTTTAAGGGTTGGTAGATGTTAATCTTCTTGTTTGAGGATCTGTTCACTTGAGACAGTTAAGCAAGTCCCAGCTGTGTCTGGGGTACAAGTGACAGGATGAACAACCCAGCGGGTTTTCTTCATATTGGGGAGTGTTGTACATGCTGCTATGGCGGTATGTCCAATCACAAGATGAGTGGCGCCGCCCAATAAACTTGCCCCTCGGAGCAAAATTTAAAAAAAAAATAAATTTACTATTGCTGCCTGCTGTGGACCGCTGCCTACAACCTCGTCACAGCTATGATTTACTCCGCGATCATCTCTGCATGTTTAGCTGCTACCGCTTGCTGCATCACGATCGTTACTTATTTGAAAGCTTCATCAGTAACTACATTATGCGGGATCTACAGCTTGTCCTGCCGACTCTCCGTCGCTGCCAGGGCACTGCTGGTCCTACAGGGTCTTCCATGACAGCTGGTCTTTCGTCAGATTCATCTACACGTTCACTGCATTTTGATACTCTGCCGACTCAAGCACCTTGCGCAGGACAGGACCTACAGCTTGCGTTTCCGACTCTTCGTCGCCTCCAGGACAATTCAGCTCGTGCAGTGATTTCCTCGTTGTCCTAACTACGTGCCTACATTACCTCCTATGGTCCTGGTGCCTGAGCCCATCAGCCCCGGATCTAAATGCTCCACCAGAGATCCAAGGACGCAACAATCGTGCACATTCTTCTCTCCTGCTACACCGAGGTTGTCCACACACTGCCTGCATCTTCTGGTACCGGACTACATGCTCCACAGCGACCCAGGGAACAGTAGCCTCGATTCTTTTGTTGTATTTCTTTTCTTTCATTCCCTGACAGGGGGAGTTATGTAGCGAGTAAGCATTATACTCACTCCAATCATTACCTTAATGACAAACTCATTAGCGCTAATCCTTTTCCTAATTACAGGTAACATTCTTTCCATCCTATGAAGGAAACTGAGGTGTAGTCACCAAATATAAGCAAGCGAGAAGCGAATAGCAAATTTACGGGCTATTCATGCCCGTGCCACCTCTTGGGTGGCTTAATCTTTATCAATCGAATAGCAAACTACGGGAGACATCTCCCGTAGTTTGCTATTCGATTAGCAAACTAATCATCCCGTAGTTTGCTACGGGAGACATCTCCCGTCACGCAGGGTGCAGTCGCACCTCCACAAATCTCCAGTATCGTCTATTGATACTGGTAATGGCTCAAAAGGGCCTCCACTTACGGGCTATTCATGCCCGTGCCACCTTTTGGGTGGCTTAATCCTCATCAATCATCAATCAATCGAATAGCCAACGAGCACCGCTCCTGTGCCGGTAAGTCCACTACGGGTTCACCATAGCCCGTGCTAATTGCCCCGCTCCTGTGGCACGTAAGTTACGGGCTCACCAGAGCCGGTGCTACTTAGAACTTGTTTCGAGTAGCTGAATCTATAACAACAGAATAGCCAACGGTACAATTTTCACAGTGATTCCGTTAACTTCAGTACAGACGCTTCGGATTTACCACATCTCTTCAACCTCAAGAATGTATACCTCAAGAATGTATACCTCAAGAATGTATACCTCAAGAATGTAGCACTCGGCGTATGCAGTTTTAATCGACCCCAAGATGCTACAGCTTCGACACAAGAGCAGACAGCAGACTACGACAGCATCGAGCTACAACGCTCTCGCTCCCCCATCAAGCTTAGACACTCACGATTAATTCCCGTCAAGCCGCCACGCTCTCCTGCATAGAGCTCCGCGACTCCAGCCTCGCTCAGCTCTCTGCTCTGCTCCAAGCTCCGTCTCAACGTCTATGACACTGCTGTATCCAAGACTACTAATTAAATATGAAAACCCACTAAACACTGTGTATCTAATCTACTCAACGTTACACATTAAGATATGATCTTAATAACTTAATAAAAACTTAAACAAATAAAAAATAATAAAATAATACAAATAATAAAATAAACAAATAAATAAAATATAACATAATAAAATAAAGATAGCTCAGTGCAAGGCCCAGTATTCCATTATATTGAAATTTAAGTAAGAGGTAGTTATGATCTACAGTATCAAAGGCCTTTCTCAAGCCAATGAAGAGGCCAATCGGAAACTCATTTTTGTCAACAGCTGTGTAGATTATATCAAGCAGACTAATAATGACATCGTTGGTACTCTTTTGGGATCGGAAGCCAAAGTGGCTGGAACTTAGTATATTGAATTTTACAAGGCAGGAGTAGTTTGTAAATTATATTTTCAAATATTTGTTATAAGATCAGTAGATTCGATATTGATCTTGTTTGTCAGCTCAATCACATCTCTCGTGAACTGGAGTTATTTTTGTTTTTTATGATATCAGGAAATGTATGGCAGTAAAGAGATTTGTTGAACAGTATGAGAGTTGTTAAACCGTCACAGTTGTTAAACAGAGCGGCAATTTTGTATATCATAGTCGGTATTTCACTAATGTTCCAAGCTTTGGTTTTAAGTACATAAAACTTGTAGATAAGTGAGTAAGTAAACTTTGTTACATGAAGCTTCGTTACCATGCATATAGTCATTGGAAGCATTCTTGCTGAAACAGAAACTGAACAAATCTTTTTCAAACACATCGAGATGTAACACACTCGCTCAGTACTAGTCAGCGGCGCGTCAAGGCCTAGCATTCAAATATTGGGAACGCCCTGATGTCGGGAAAATCCTTCTATAAGTAATCTTCTTAATTATCAAAACAATCGAAAGTATTATCAGATCGTTATATATTTGCCTGATTTGAAGGTTCACATAAGTATCAGTAACGAGGGGGAGCTGAACGTAAGGATTTATAAAACATGCAGACGACGCACCTTTTTCCCGCCATAAATTATTGTCGCAGAGGATTAGGTCAATCAAAAGTCATTTTTCTGCACAAATAATATGAATTGAATAAAATTTGTTATGTAATTTGGTGAATATGTCATACAAAATAAATTAATGTTTTATTAATAATATTTTTCAAAACAGCTTTATAAAAATATATTTACGGAATATATCTTATACAGATGCTCACTTGAAAATTGTCATGTAAACAATACTGATCACTGCAGTAAAGATGGAGATCTGAGACAATACTCTGAAGATGGTGTCAAACTCAGGGCCCGAGGCACCTCTTCCCAGCTGACGCAGGAACAAGGCAATGCGAGAGGCTAGCCATGGCTACTGCGGTCGACACGGAGGCCGAAAACAGAAGGAACGATTGGGAAGACTTCTGTGACAAGCAGGCAAGGATTGCTGCCGCCGACTTTGTTAGATCTTGGAGAGTGTTCGTGGCCCTACAAGCACAGTTCAGGGAGGTGGAACACAAAGAGTTGGCGCAGAAGTTTGCAGAACTTTTTCCAGGCCATTTAGAACAGGCGTTACTGAGTCCCCCGAATGGCGTGAAGGTGCGGAACGGCATGGGCAGTGTGGCCAACACTCGCTCAGCCTCGGCTGACGACATTCTGGAGGCCGCCGCCAGTGATGAAGGCGGCGAGTCACCTTCCCCAAAAGTGTCTCACAAGCCCTTTTTTAGAAGGTTATCTTTCAAGGGGTTGAAGAAAGGTAAAATATTTTTAAAACAGCATTCTGACGAGGTTGAATTATCCCCCCACCATGACAAACAGTTGAAGAATGAAAGGCACAAGGCTCGCACAGTGAAGCTTGCAGTGGATTGTGTGCGTGAGGGAACAGTACATCTGCTGGCAGGAGACACACAGGAAGGCCGGCCTCACTGGCTCAAGTGTCGCATGGCTCTTGTTAAGGTTGCTGCAGGGCATATGCTTGAATTTTATGCACCTCCTAAGGTATGTGGGGTCATTTATTTTATAAGTACAGTACAGTAAGGGTAAAGTTCTAGTTAGGGGATACACTTTATAATGCAGGATTTGATCTGAAATAACCAAGGCTTTTCTGACCATATTTGTTTCATACAGGATAGACATTTCTTATGCATGTTTGATTAGTCCTTATTTAAAATGACTCCAAAAGTGGGACCCTCTGTGGTATAGTCATTAGCACTCGCCTGACAGACAAGAGAAACTGGGTTTCAAATCCTGGCAGAGTGGGGCAATTGAGAACCATTCCTTCAATGTACCTGTATATGCCTCTGTGCACTCAGCAGTAATTGAGGATATAAACATGAAATCTTTTTCTGGTAAAAACTTCACAATGAATATCCTAACCATCTCTTCTTTCCAGTTAGCCATTTTCAAAAGTTAAGAATGGCAACAGTCTAATGTACTGTATATGTAACCTATATCAATAAATGAATTGAGTAACAATAGGCTACTAAACTATTAATGTAGTCTATGGCTAATCATATTAATAAAAACACAACACAGCTTAGCTGTAAGGAGAATTCAGTTGATTCTGCAGTCAGACCTGTCCTGCACATGGGAGCTACACCGAAGATTCTCGAATGTTATAGCAACAAGACAAATATCTAGGTCAAAATGATTCGTTATGGTTGTCTCTTCTTCCTCGAGGTCACCTGTGAAAAGGTTACATCGTAATACATGTGATAAACCTGGGAATTATATTCAGAAGAGATTAAATGGGATAAGGAAATGAGCTTGCCCATCACGGGTGCTTGGCTGGCGTCATAACTGGACTACCAGAATGAACTATAATGCTGACCAGCTATAAAATGATATTTCTTACTAGTAGCCTGGATAGGATACTTCCTCAAGTAGCAAAATCGTGGGTTGGGTGGATGCTGAATATCTTGTGGAACGAATTGTGGGAAATATCTTGTATGCACGTGTTAATTAATAGCACTAACTAGTGGGTATTCACGTCTTGGTGCAAGCTGGTGTCGCTTCCAGGCGCCGCCTCCTTTCCCCCACTCCCGTAGTGGACGCGTCCAGTTAAGGTGAGTTAAATTTGATTTAGGGAGAAAGATATTTATTTATGGGTTTTAATTAAGTTCAGTCTAAATAATTATTTTACGATAATTTTAACTTGTAGACTGAAAGAGTTACGTTTACTAAAGAAATTATTAAATACGTCGACCCTCAATATTCTTCCATTATTTCCAGGGAGTCTCTAGGAACATTTTCTTGGAAAAGTTTATAATATTAGTAGTTACTTGACATACCCATTTTAATCTGGTATGTCGGGGTTAGTAAGTGATGTTGGAAATTTCTGACACCCACCACAACCACCCCACCCATACTCAGCCCCCACCACAACCACCCCTTCCATATCTTGCCCCCACTACAACCACCCCTTCCATATCTTGCCCCCACCACAACCACCCCTCCCTTATCTTGCCCCCACCACAACCACCCCTCCCTTATCTTGCCCCCACCACAACCACCCCTCCCTTATCTTGCCCCCACCACAACCACCCCTCCCTTATCTTGCCCCACCACAACCACCCCTCCCTTATCTTGCCCCACCACAACCACCCCTCCCTTATCTTGCCCCCACCACAACCACCCCTCCCTTATCTTGCCCCCACCACAACCACCCCTCCCTTATCTTGCCCCCACCACAACCACCCCTCCCTTATCTTGCCCCCACCACAACCACCCCTCCCTTATCTTGCCCCCACCACAACCACCCCTCCCTTATCTTGCCCCCACCACAACCACCCTCCCTTATCTTGCCCCCACCACAACCACCCCTCCCTTATCTTGCCCCCACCACAACCACCCCTCCCTTATCTTGCCCCCACCAAAACCACCCCTCCCTTATCTTGCCCCCACCACAACCACCCCTCCCTTATCTTGCCCCCACCACAACCACCCCTCCCTTATCTTGCCCCCACCACAACCACCCCTCCCTTATCTTGCCCCCACCACAACCACCCCTCCCTTATCTTGCCCCCACCACAATCACCCCTCCCTTATCTTGCCCCCACCACAACCACCCCTCCCTTATCTTGCCCCCACCACAACCACCCCCTCTCATATCTTGCCCCCACTACAACCACCCCTCCCATTCCCTGCCCCCACCACAACCACCCCTCCCATACCCTGCCCCCACCACAACCACCTTTCCTATACTCTGCCCCCACCACAACCACTCCTCCCATACCCTGCCCCCACCACAACCACTCCTCCCATACCCTGCCCCCACCACAACCACCTTTCCTATACTCTGCCCCCACCACAACCATCTCACCCATACCCTGCCCCCACCACAACCATCCCACCCATACCCTGCCCCACCACAACCATCCCACCCATACCCTGCCCCCACCACAACCACCCTTCCCATACTCTGCCCCCACCACAACCACCCCTCCCATACCCTGCCTCCACCACAAAATTCTTTAATGAATCTGATTGGAAAGACTTGTTATTATGCAAGGAAGTAAATTAGATGTATGGTAAATTTTGTGAGATATGCAATGAAGGTACAAACAATTTATACCAAAACAGAGATGCAGAACCAGGAAACAGGATTGGGTCAACATAAATTGCAAGAGAGCCAGAGAAGAAAAAAAAAAAAAAGGAAATTGGTTCAATATAGGAAGAGACTTAGTAGTAGTAGGCATCCATCAGTCTCAGGAGACTATGGAGTTGCGCTCTGGTTGTTGGTCTGGAGTGGCCTCTCCGGGACGCAAAGCCAGGGTAGGTTCATATGGAGAAGTTGTTACCCATGCAGCCGGTCCCCCCTCTCCATGGCGCCGAAAGTTTCCAATGGAAAGGCAAACGCCAATACGATTGGTTCCAGTTTGAGGCTTAACCTTCAGACTTATCAGTACTACAAACAAGCAAGGAACAACTACATGGCAGTGAGAAGAGAGGCAGAAAGAGACTTTGAGAAAGGGGTAGCAGACAGATGTAAAACAAAACCAGGCAGTGATTGTGACTTCATGTTTGTTTGCTTGTTTTTGGATTGGGAATTCTGCTTGATAGTTCCGTTTTCAGTAGCAATTTTTAACCAGGTGGTGGTTGTCTTGGGACGCCTCCCTTTCTGGGTCCCTAACCTGGTCGATGGTAGACATGGAATGCTTCCATCCACATGGAGGTTTCTATAGGGCCATTTTTGCTCCTCGTGTCTCTCTGAGGGGGTGAGGTTCTGTCTCATGGTCCCCGGTAGGCATAGAACTCCAATCAAGTTGACTGATGCCACGGTCTAATTCATGCATATCAACCCGGTAAGCCCCGGAAAGCCTCTGGGACTCGCCCCAAAAATTAAGTTTCATTACAATTTACTCTGTTTTTTTAGTTTTATTTTATTTTTTGCATTTTGTTCCTATTTCTACTATAAAAAATAACTGATCATGTTCATCTATGCTCTACCTGATTTTTTTATATGTAAATGTTCTTTTTCATTGCCATTCATTGTATGCATATTATTATTCTTGTATATGTTGATGATAATTGTCTTGCAGAGCTTGAAGCCTCGCACTGGTGTATTCTGCATATCAATAAATGAGGCCAGAGAAACTACAGACTTGGAGATGCCAGACCTCAGAAACACATTTGTTATCAAGGTGAGCCAAAGTTGAAATTGAATTGCAATTTAGAGGTCACACAGTGTTGCCCTGCTTTAGACAACATATTGTCTCATAAATATACTGTGCAGTGATCAGCGCAGTAGGTTCCAACCAAAAGATCCCAGGTTCAACTCTTCCACAGGACAGAGAGATTTGGGTACATTTCCTTTTACCTGATGACTATGTTCACCTAGTAGTTAGGTACAATACCCACAAGTTAGGCAACTGTTTTGGGTTGCACCATGGAAGAGGTCAGTCATTAGCCTAATGAGGCTTGATAAGTCTAATGTTCTTCTCGTCCCTGATAATGGGAACCTTATACGTTGTTCTTCGATAAAATTTATCCTATAATTTTATATCCATAAAATCTTCTATAAATTTTGCAGGATTCCTATTCAAAATAAACAGTTTTTGGGGCAATGTACATAGAATTTATTTTTTGGAGACTCCTTTACTCTAATATTGTGCAATAATAATGTTATAATAATTATATAAAAAATAAAAATCTTCACTTCATTTTATATATACTCAGTACTGTGTGAAACCAATTGAACAAACTCTACAGGGTTACCTTGCGGTTACCTTGAAATGATTTTGGGGCTTAGCATCCCCACGGCCCAGTCGTCGACCAGGCCTCCTCGTTGCTGGACTGGTCAACCAGGCTGTTGGATGCGGCTGCTCGCAGTGATACCTTGGTTTTCAAATTTAATCCGTTCCCAGAGATGGTTTGTAAACGCAAAATTCTTAAACTGAAACAAATTTTCTCATAAGAAATTGAATTAACCCGTTCTCCAAAGGATACCTGATCAACCAGGCTGTGACTCGTACGTCAGGCTGCGAGCAGCCGCGTCCAACAGCCTGGTTGATCAGTCCGGCAACCAGGAGGCCTGGTCGACGACCGGGCCGCGGGGACGCTAAGCCCCGGAAGCACCTCAAGGTAACCTCAAGGTAGGTTCCACACACCCAAAAAATATTAACTTAAAAATACATTTTATACAGAATACTACTCATATTTTTCATACACAAAACAATCAGGTATAAATATAAACCATAAATAAAATAAGTGATCATTTAACTGCACTTTACCTTTACTGCGGACTCTTGTTGGCGTATGGGAGACAGTGAGGAGGGAGGGAGGAGCGGTGTTGGTGTATGGAGAGGGTAAGGAGGAGGGAGGTGGTGGTGAGACCATCCCCTGCGCACCTTAAACGCTTTCATATCTGCATCACTGGTTCCAGATATTCCTTTCACACATTTCACTGCATCTGTTATGTGGCAGCCAGTCAGAACCAGTCAGTTAGTCACAACATGTCAGTCAATCATTCACAGTCAAGACCAGTCACAGGCAGTCATAACCAAAGGTAGTCAAGCATTCACAGTTGTGGTAGCAACCAGTTAGGCATTTCCAGTCACAAGAAGTTAGTCAGGCAAGCATTCACAGGCAGTCATAACCAATTGTCAAGCATTCACAGGCAGTCATAACCAAAGGTAGTCAAGCATTCACAGTTATGGTAGCAACTGGTTAGGCATTTAAGGTCAGTCACGCATTCACAGTCAATCAGCCATTCACAATCGATCAGGCATTCACAGTCAATCCGGCATTCACAGCCAGTCAGGCTGTCACAATTAGTAAACAAAAAAAGTTCAATGACAGGTGCTCAGGGAGTCTGCCTCCCAATCCAACAGCTGGTAGCAAGGAAGCCCACCATATCAATACTGTCCATATGGCTTTGAGAGGAACAGCTGGGGGAGTCCAGTGTGTGGGGATGAGGGGATGGAGGTAGTGGGGAGGGTCCGGTGTTCGGGATAGGGGGTCTTGGGGAGGGACGTTGGGGTGACCAGCTCCTGTGTTAGTCCTACTCGGAAGTTCAGCCGCTCGTGCCACCGCCTCTGCTACCCACCCACTCTCCCACCTGTACTGCTACTCATCTGCCCACCCATTATCTCCTGACCGCCCTGCTACCCATCCGCTTGGTACCTGCCTCCTTAGTCTACCATCTTCCACCCACCTTCTTAGTCTACCATCAACCACTAACCTCCTTAGTCTACCATCTGCCACCCACCTCCTTAGTCTACCATCAGCCACCCACCTCCTTAGTCTACCATCTGCCACCCACCTCCTTAGTCTACCATCAGCCACCCACCTCCTTAGTCTACCATCTGCCACCCACCTCCTTAGTCTACCATCAGCCACCCACCTCCCTAGTCTACCATCTTCCACCTACCTCCTTAGTCTACCATCTGCCACCCACCTCCCTAGTCTACCATCTGCCACCCACCTCCCTAGTCTACCATCTGCCACCCACCTCCCTAGTCTACCATCTGCCACCCACCTCCCTAGTCTACCATCTGCCACCCACCTCCCTAGTCTACCATCTGCCACCCACCTCCCTAGTCTACCATCTGCCACCCACCTCCCTAGTCTACCATCTGCCACCCACCTCCCTAGTCTACCATCTGCCACCCACCTCCCTAGTCTACCATCTTCCACCCACCTTCTTAGTCTACCATCAACCACTCACCTCCTTAGTATACCATCTGCCACCCACCTCCTTAGTCTACCATCTGCCACCCACCTCCTTAGTCTACCATCTGCCACCCACCTCCTTAGTCTACCATCTGCCACCCACCTCCCTAGTCTACCATCTGCCACCCACCTTCTTAGTCTACCATCAGCCACCCACCTTCTTAGTCTACCATCAGCCACCCACCTCCTTAGTCTACCATCAGCCACCCACCTCCTTAGTCTACCATCTTCCACCCACCTTCTTAGTCTACCATCTTCCACCCACCTTCTTAGTCTACCATCAACCACTCACCTCCTTAGTCTACCATCAGCCACCCACCTTCTTAGTCTACCATCAGCCACCCACCTTCTTAGTCTACCATCAGCCACCCACCTTCTTAGTCTACCATCAGCCACCCACCTTCTTAGTCTACCATCAGCCACCCACCTTCTTAGTCTACCATCAGCCACCCACCTCCTTAGTCTACCATCAGCCACCCACCTCCTTAGTCTACCATCAGCCACCCACCTTCTTAGTCTACCATCAGCCACCCACCTTCTTAGTCTACCATCAGCCACCCACCTTCTTAGTCTACCATCAGCCACCCACCTTCTTAGTCTACCATCAGCCACCCACCTTCTTAGTCTACCATCAGCCACCCACCTCCTTAGTCTACCATCTGCCACCCACCTCCTTAGTCTACCATCAGCCACCCACCTTCTTAGTCTACCATCAGCCACCCACCTTCTTAGTCTACCATCTGCCACCCACCTCCTTAGTCTACCATCTGCCACCCACCTCCCTAGTCTACCATCTTCCACCCACCTTCTTAGTCTACCATCAACCACTCACCTCCTTAGTATACCATCTGCCACCCACCTCCTTAGTCTACCATCTGCCACCCACCTCCTTAGTCTACCATCTGCCACCCACCTCCCTAGTCTACCATCAGCCACCCACCTCCCTAGTCTACCATCAGCCACCCACCTTCTTAGTCTACCATCAGCCACCCACCTCCTTAGTCTACCATCAGCCACCCACCTTCTTAGTCTACCATCAGCCACCCACCTTCTTAGTCTACCATCAGCCACCCACCTCCTTAGTCTACCATCAGCCACCCACCTCCTTAGTCTACCATCAGCCACCCACCTTCTTAGTCTACCATCAGCCACCCACCTTCTTAGTCTACCATCAGCCACCCACCTTCTTAGTCTACCATCAGCCACCCACCTTCTTAGTCTACCATCAGCCACCCACCTTCTTAGTCTACCATCAGCCACCCACCTCCTTAGTCTACCATCTGCCACCCACCTGTTCTGTTGCCTGCGTGCCTGTTACAAATAAATGTATGTTCTATGGGGAGTCTAGTATTAATGGATGTAGGGGCAGTCGTTAGCATTAAGGGTTGTCAAATATGGGAGATCTAAAAGGCCCGGCCCCCATTAAATATATAAACATAAACTTGTAGTGGCTTATTACAGCAATAGTCAGCCTAGAGGTTGATCATAGATCTCCTACACAGGAAAAATGGATACTCCTTTAACTAACTTACTTATTTATTAACCCCTTAACAACCCCCCATATACATTCACACCAATAACAATAATAATTACTTTACCACACTATCTTACTTTAAAAGCCTTGGTCCACATAAGCAGGATACAAGGTTTACACTGAGAACAGGCTAGGGTAAAGTACTACTGGTTAAGAACTGAAGCTTGAAGCAGCTTAGGGTAGTGAGACCACGTGGTACCCTAATACAACACAAGACAACACTACACTTAGGGGGTACCCAAAACACTAGCAAATACTACCCCCCAGGTCTCACCAATCTTTCACTACCAGAGTAGGCACACTTACAAACACAGGGTATAACTTAAGGTAAGGGAAATAAGTAAGAGGGAAGGTAGAAGGGGAGAGAGGTGCAGCTACAGAGTCCCGATGTTTACACCTCGAACGCCAACAGAGAAGAAGGCTTCCAGCGACCAGATCAGGGCTCCCGTATTGTGTGGTGCCGGGAGGAGCCTAATTGATCGTGCAGCTAAACACATTAAAAATCTTCCCCTATGCATCATATTGTTACTTTACTCGTTCTCAGGATAGTTAATCTTATAACAATGTTTTACTTAATCCACAACAAGCTCAAGAGTCTGAATGCTTGTGAGCAACAAGATTCACCCTACATTTGGCAGGGAAGATACGAACAAAGACACGTCGACTTGCGTCTTGCTAATCTAACGTAGCTTATTTAGTTCAATTTGACCTCTGGTTTCCACTTGAGGAACCCAGGGTCGTAACAGTGCCAACTATGCCCACTCTGCAAACCATCTCACTACTGCTCGCCTGCACACACTGACACCTGCCCGATCACTGCTGCCCGTCTATCAACCCACTTTGCCGCCTGCCCTGCTACTCATCCATTCACTCGCTCTCACCTGCCAATCCACTCGCCATCCATGTGTTCTTCCCTTACATGTTTCTAGGGCTGGT